TTTGGTGCCTTTTAGTCACACTGCAATGTGCAGTTCGATATGCAGAGCTAAGCCCAGCAGCCTAACTCATTGGGAAAAGCCACCGGCATTGACATGCTTCCTACGGTTGCATGTTTGCTAAAGCAGAAGAGGGACATGGAAGGATGGAAAACAGCCCTGCTTCCACAGGAAAACTCCCTGTGGAGTAGGAGCGATGGCTCCAGCACCCTCCTTTTGCCGAGCCACCCCTGCAACAGCTGCTGGGTGCACTCTGTGGAAGCAGGGGAACGAACCTGGAAACACCTGCAGTTCTCCTACTGGAAAATCACAGCACCAAAACCTGTGCATTGACTAGAAATGTACGTACCTGTGTATGTCCCCCCAGCCTCCTGCACAGGGGGGGTGGAAAGCAAACGAGAAAGAACGTACCTGCAGAGGTGGGTGTTGGGGGCTTGGGGGATGACCACTCGCTGGCTGTGGACTCACAAAGTTTACACCTAGGCTTTATCTGCTCTACCACAGCTCCTCAAATGCTTTCTTCTTGCATGGGATACTTGATAAAGATCTTCTCATTTTTAATAAGTCATCTCCCCTGTTTTCCACGCACGTGGTTCCTGTAGCAGCAGTTGCTGCTCAGGGGTCTGCAAGGCTCCTGGCTCTTGGTGAGGTGGTTGGCACCAACGCCACACCTGCCAGTTCACTACTTTGTGAGAAGAAAACTGGTGTGTTCAGGAAATAAACAGAAATCAGTACCAGGAAACTAAATTTTTAGTAACAACACTGTAAAAAAAAAAAAAACCACAGGAAATAATGCTGAAAACTCAGCAGCATCAGCAGGACTCAGGACACACCACACTGCCCTGCAGTTCACCAGTTCCCTCACACTACTCAAAGACAAATGAAGGGGACAGAGCAGGGAAAGCCATTCCTTCTCTCACCTTCTCCTGCCACCTCAGGAGACAGTCAGTGGAGAAGAGGATGCCTGGCATGGCTCCACTGCATTGAAAAACCCGCACATGGTATTCGAGCTCCCCGCTAAGGTCAGAACCATCCCATTCCCTTGAGGGAAGTTGTTTTTTTCTCTCCATTTCTACTGGAAAGTGTCTCTGAACTTATGCCTCTGAAGGAAATGATGAAGAACCTTTGCTCACAGCTTTCTTGCTATAATAAAAACTCTACTCACAAACTAAATTTTCTACTCTTTTGTGTCTGTCTAGGAAACCATGAACAAAACAACACAGCTCAGTATGCAAAGATACCCTCAGAAGCCATATGGCTTTGGAAATCAAGAGAAGCACAGAAGGAAACCATAACAGCTCTGTGCTATCAGTCAGTCAGAGCACACATAGAACTAGCAGGGGCACAGCAGCAGCTCTGAACTCTCGCTCTTACTAAAACCTTCATCTAAAACTATCTGTACCAGAGTCAAAGCTCCCCTACTCTGTCCTCACCTGTGGATCCACATAGCCTGCCCTAAACTTATGGATTGAGATTCTAGTCACTCCCATTCCTTTAGAAAACAAAAGGGACACTACAGCAAGACCCTTATTACTTTCTTTTAAAAAAACAAATCCCTGAGATTTAAAATGGCCAATAAAAGATCTGCACCATTGCAAAATACAAGAAAAAAAACCACTGAAGATGCCTTTTCAAACTAACTGTGATGCAAGAAAGGAAAATTTGGAAGCCTGTCCATTGAAAACACAGGCAGCTTTTTCCTAAGATCTTTTGAAAACCAAGAGAATTTAGTTGGATTTTTTTCCCATATTAAGCAATTCTAACACATTTAGAGGGAATGCTTGTGACTGGGGCACAGGACATGAAACAGAGGCAGACACAGTTATATGTCATAGCTGAATCCTGATTCTGTTTTTAGAAGATTCAAGAAACTAACAGCCTTTCTCTATGTCTACATATTTGTCCCTGATGCTGCCACCTGTTATAGAGTTTGCAGAGAGAAATCTGTCTTTTTTCTGATTTCTTTTTCTTCCTTACTAGTTCGTTGTGAGAGGAGATCAGACAAAGCACCTAAAAACATACTTAAAGGCACCAGCTTTGGACACCACTACAGACCTCCTCCAAGTCCTGTTTTGAAATGTCACACCACACACCCAGGACATCATCTCCACAGGCCTGAATAAAGTCACACAAAGAGCCAGAACACACATTCAATAGGAGGGAAATACAGGTAACATATAGCACTTATAAACAAAAAAAAGAGCAAACTGTTGTACATTCCAGGAGGTCTGAGCTAATACTTTGTTCTAAAAGTGCTTTGGCTTTCTGTGCCACTGTCAAAGCAGACAGGTTTCTCGTGGGACAACAGAGATTTCACTCAAACACAGTAAGTTAAGTGAGACAAATGAAAGCACTGTGTAGAATAATCACACTTTGGTAAAACTAAGATGGAAGAAATAGGTGACTAAAGCAGGTTTTACCTCCTCCTGTTCTGCCACATGTTGAGAAACATTCCATTGAAGTTCTAGTTATCAGAATTTTGAGAAATAATAATACTTTTTAAATGTTTGAGTAAACAATTAAGATCTTTAACTGATATCAGTAATATTGAGTATAAAGTTATGATTGTAACTAAGTTGCTTATTTTGGAGGCACTGACTGCATCAGTACTGCAGTCTCTCTGCAAAGGACTGAAAACTGGGCAGAAGGGAACCCCAAAACCAACAGCTGAAGGAGATGATGCACAAGATCTGGGTCAGGTGTAATGGATTTCACATTCTTTCTTGTACAAAAGCAAAATACTGTAAAAACTGCTATTGCGAGCCAAAGCTCAGGTTGGACTCTGTGATCTCAGAGGTCTTTTCCAACCTAATTGATTCTGTGATTCTGTAATTCAACCACCCTGATCCATGGCAGTTAGGAAGGACATTTCACAACTTTTGCTGTTTCGCCTCAATAAATGTTGCTAAATTAGATGTGGCCAGTTCAGTAACTGTCTTTTCAATTACACTTTCAAACTTATAGGTCAAGTCTCACATCAAAGTCATCCACCTAAAAGAATTTTTAGAAGCCCTGAAGCTCTCGCTGTTGTCTCCAGTATTCACCACTCCTAACAACTCAATTTCTCAGAAAATTTTGATATTTTTCTAAATACAGCCCATATTTTAAAGAAAAAGTTAAAGCTATCACCGGGTTTACCACTAGTTCTCCTCCACAGATACAAATTAACTCAGAAAAGCGTACTATAAATATTTTTATGCAGAGTGACTAAATAATGAGAAAGAAGGTGAGACAAAACGTTATGGGGATTAAGTGCTTTTATAGTCTCTGTATATCTCCAAACTGCAAAATGTTTGCTGCTGGACTGCTGAAGGCACTTGGAAGTCAGCAAATATGATTGTCTTCACAAGAAATGTGGTGACTGCTTGGCTGTGTACACATTTCCTCTTCCAAACTACCACACAGGCTATTTATTCTTCAAAGAATACCACAGAGATATTGCATAGGTTGATATTTTAAAACTGTCCTTCAGAGATGATTTGAAGAGTGTTCTTTTTTTTGATTGCAGAAACAAAACCAAAATGAGGATCTTGCTACAGCGCTGGAAAATGGGCAATTTAGTGGAAGCAGCTGCTGGTTAATAAGCATGTGCAAAAGTAACTGTTTTATGCAGGTGTTGCAGGAACAGCATATATCAGACTCTTACAGATACGTTTATAGCCAAAGAAATCCTTCACTACACTGTAAGTTGTGATGTCTGCATGAGCCAGTTGATACTTAACTTCTCTGAAATCAGTGGGTTTTCCTAAATGCAGTATTTTCCAACGTTGTAGCCTATTATAACCCATTCTTGATGCAGTGTGATGCATAGAAACGCAGCACCAAAGCCTGGATGCTTTGAAGGAAACTGAAGAGGTATATGAATTAACCAAAAAAAAAAAAAATTAACTACGTTATGTGATTTAAAATCCAGCCATTGGATTGGGGTTTTATTTCCTAAAGCAACTGACATGACACCCTTTTGACTTCCAAGCCTGAACATCATAGAGGGGTCAATCACAAAAATCAAGACTCGTGATTGACATGTGACTTCTCTGTCCAGTCTTCTTGCGTGAGATTTTTTAAATTATTCTGAAAGTCAAAACCCAAGTTATCCTCAGTGGCTTGAGCAAAAGGGTTACTAAAAAAAAGATTTACATCCAGGGGCGCAGCAGTTTCGGAGTCCCAGGAGTCCGTGTCCGTGCTGCTGGAGTCTTCTGTGGTGGTGGGTGGATAGCTCAGCTGCTCCAGTTGGTCAATAATGTCCGTGAACTGGAAGGCTGAGCTGGACTCGGAGCGCACTGAGTAGGCAGGGAAGTTCACCATGGAGCTGGCCTCCGAATGGTTGGCAGAGCCATAGGTGTGCAGGGAGCACGTACCATTCAGTGGCAGGTTATTGAGGGAGCTGCTCTCAGAGCGGTTGTTGATGAGGGAACTCGTTTCAGAGGGGCTCAGGAGGCTCTGCATTCTGCTCGCTTGGGCCTTCACCTCAAACAGCTCCGAGGTGTCCGACGGCCTCTCGTTGCCGTTGAAATCACTCCCTTCTTCAAATTCAAACTCCTCTTCCATATTCATATCCACAGCTTCGGTTGAGTACCTGTCGGGGCTCGACTGAGCAGAGACTGTGTTTTGCTGCAGGGCATCTGTAGTTAAACGAGGTGACTCGGACATACACTTGGAAAACTCAGAACCCTTTAACTCTAACCCACTGTACACGTAGGAAAATGCCTCAGAGCCCCCAGCAAAAAAGGACATTTCTGCTGGGTCATCATCAATAAACTCCTCTGACACCTGTAACTGTGCATTTGTCAGTGTGAAAAGAGGGGTACCTCGGCTGCCGTGCTGCTGCTCTTTTTCAGCAATGAATACACCTGTGGTAAAGTCATCCTCATCATTGTCATTTTTACAACCAGCAACCCTGCTCTCCTTACTACTCCTCTCTATGTCTGCATCTACACCACAATCACTCTCAACAACAGGACAAGACAGGTTACAGTTTCCTTCAACACTACCAAACCCAACACCTTGGAGCACGGGAGATCCGGGTTGCTGCATCAGATTCCTCCCTGCTTCTTCTGCTGGTGCTGCAGTGGTTTTGTCTGGAATCCTTGTGTATGGCGCTCGGGAGTCCAAGGAGGAAGGGCTGGATTCAGCAAAGATGGGCAGGACAGGAGCAGGACTGGTCGAGGAGTGAACCGAGTAAAAGGGGGCAGCTGTCGAGGCAGGAGACCCTGGGGTTCTCAAGCCCTCAGTGAATGGGACACTCTAAGAGGAGAAAAAAAGCAGAAACACAACAGATAAAAAGGTTTTTGTAATACATGAAAAACAAATGCAGTTACATACAGATGCAGAAGGAATATTTGCTTCAGAGGAGCTCACTTTACAGCAAACAAAACACTGCACAGAAGCTGATCCAGCAGCCCCCTAAGAGACAAGGTCTTTTTTCTTTAATTCTGATAACTGGATGGAAAATTAAATCCATGTATTTTATAGCCTCTGCTAAACAAGCATCTACAAGGAAAAATAACAAAATGACAGTGAAATTCCGTGATGCTTCCTTAACCTCTCCCATGGAACACAAGTGCAGTCAGTGAAATGCTTGTTTCTTGCTGTGGTCTGCAGAAGGCATCAATACAATGAACTCGAGACTGCCAGAGAGCACTTGGAGACAAACTAATCCTCTGAAATGATAATATACTAGAAAGTCTGACATTTCCTTTTCAGTTCACCTGAACTTTGAAAAGCAAAATACTACTGACTTTACACTCCATTGCCTACAACTATCAAACCAGTAACACGCACAAAAAGAACTGTGAAGCAGGGATGAAGAATAACCAGTGAAAGCAATTCTGAAGGGTTGACTCCTTCACTATCACCTCAGAAGGCTGTTTGTCAATGCCCCTGACCACAACACCAAGAGCACTGCAGAACTGACCTGTTTTGGCACATCTGTGTTGGAGGTGCGCGTGGACGCTCTGACCTTGCTGTGCCTCCTGTGGGACAGAGCAGCCTGTGAGCATCCAAGACATGAACCAGCCTCCTCCCCTCCCCAGTCACCCATCACCATCCCAACAGCCAACAGGCACGTCTCAAGCTCCATTTTACAAAGTTTTTTTAAAAACTAGTTTGAGATTTAAAAGGTCAAAGGAGTTGTAAATTAAACGATGCAGGAGTCATAAACACACAAACAATAGAATAAAGCAATACCCAGGTCATTCATAGAATCACAGAATCATTCAGGTTGGAAAAGATCTCTGAGATCATTGAGTTCAACTGCTCCCCCAGCACTGCCAAGCCCAGCACTAAGCTGTGTCCCCAAGTGTCACATCTCCATGTTTTTTGAACATCTCCAGGGATGGTGACTGCACCACTGCCCTGGGCAGCCCATGCCAGTGCCTGACCACCTGTTCAGTGAAGAAATTTTCCCTCATATCGAACCTAAACCTCCCCTGGCACAACTTGAGGTTGTTTCCTCTCATTTAAAACACTGAAATTTAGCCAATAAGGGCACTGTGAAAGTCCCATTTCACCTTACAAAGCTCTTTGATCTTACCTTTCATATGGAGTTCTCTTCATCCCACTGTCCTTAATATAATCCACTAGTTGCTTCTGTGTCCGTCCACTGTGAACCCACAAAAGTACAAACGTTATCAAACACAGGGGATGGGCATTAGAGATGAAATGACTTTAGAATACTTCTTCCTTTTGATCTCATTTTTCTAAGACATGAGTTCAGCTTTAATGGCTCTGTTCTGTTTCTCCCTACCTGTATCTGAACGATGACCCTCTGGTGAAGAACACTGCTTTAGCCTTTGGCTTTGGCTGATCAAACAGCCTAAAGAACGTGTGATACTCAACACAGATTTTCCAGAAGTTTTTACACTCATCCCTACTTCCCAAAAGAAACTCCAATGTATCTTGATACGGGCCCTGGAGAAAAAACACAGAAGTTAAGTAGCAAATAAAGTGACAGTGAGGAGCAAAGGAAAGAACAAGTGGGTGCAAACAAAAAGGTTGAACTTCAGTGAGATGCAGAATTTTGCTAAGTCACTTCTCATAAGCCTTAAAGAATAGGAGTGATTCTGAAGGCAGTCAAAAATCATTTAATGGTTTTCAAAAATATTTGCTTACCTTGAAACTGTAAAAGTGTTTAAAATGCACTTGGCTTTAGAAACATGCTCAATATAACCCACCTTTAGAAATTTCAAAGAAATTAAAATATATGAAATAGTAGCAATTTTAAAATATTTCTCCTTTTTTAGGAGTTCTGATGCTTCTCTCACTTAAGTGAGATTTAGACAAGACTAGAAAATACTGCATATGTCAGAGTACATTTATCACATGAAATTTCTGAGGGTCTCTATGTTAGACACATTACTACATAGGCAGACAGTGTGTCCTGTTTCAGGTGTCCTTGATACATGTAATTATATTATGTCCAAAGGTGGGTTTTGCCCTTTTTAATATAAATGCCCTTTAATATAAATTAATCTAGTCATCCAGTGTGGAAGCAACAACTTTGATGACATCTGCAATCAAACACATTCATTGTAAATCAGCCAAGCATGAAAAATAACACTTCTCCTGTACAGATGCATAGTAAAGATAGAGTAATCACACTCCCCTTAAAATTAAGCTCCAACAATACAATCTCAGCCACATATTCCTTCCTGAGGCCTAACAGGTTATTCTCATTTGAATCAAGAAACTGGATGTAACTTTTTCAGAGTAGAAGTACAGAGACAGGATGCACCAAATACTTGGGTTTAGTAATTTTTTTCTGTCTTACATTTATACATGTGTATGCCTATGTCAAGGGTAAGCTGAGGTTGAAACACAAAACCTAAAAATCTAAGGTGACAGTTGTGGGGAGAGAAAGGAAAGATTTATACTTGAATGATGAAGCCAAAGCCTGCCCTGCTGAGGCTGTTTCACAAAATCACAAACTCTAGAAATGTTCATAATATAATGAAGTATAGGTATTTTTTTCAACTGACCATTCTATATTACAGTAAAACTTACACAGACCTCTGGGTGGAGCTTAATAAGGAATCTTTTCCTCTTGAAGCTCAGTTTACGGACTTTGGACCAGTTGAAGGTATTGATTTTTGTGTTACCCTGAATTAAAATGAGAACAGTTAAAAGTTGGCAAAAGTTTCAGAAGAGTAACAAGCAAAATTCTGTAGCAGTTATATAGACATGTGTATGTGGACACCTTCCCACCCCAACACATTCTGCTGTATTTTTAGTTCTGGTGACAATATTCCCGTAAGCAAGAAAGAGGCCCCTGAGGAGTCTGCAAGCAATTGCAGGACTGCAGTGGCTCATGCACCTCCAAAAAGAAGCTGCCCCACAGTCACCAAAGAACAGGTAAGACACAAAACAAATGAAAAATGGAAATATTTTAGTAGATCAACTGCCTCTGTGTTTTGGCAAGAGGAAAACAACATCTGCATTCATAAACAGGACTGAGCACTGAGTGGTTTATTTAATACAACAAACACAGTAACACTAATTGCTCCAATCACTTCAATCAATCAGCACTTCTACACACTAAGAGCAATGGTATCCTAACAAAAATACACTGCAAATTGAAAGAAGGGAAACTGAACTAAAATTCTGGGATGACAAACCTGTTCCTGGGCTGCAGCAAATGAACTGATGACCTTCCCTGATCACACATCTAACTCTCACACAAAGCCCCTCTACCTCACTGCCACTGTTGGTGGCATCAGAGTCATGAGAGACACCTGATATTAAAATGAGAGACTTACTCCAACACATGCTAATGGACAGACAGACACACTCCACCCTCCCCACTGTACCTGGAACACCAGCACACCCATGTGTGAAACCGCCAGGTTGATTTTGGTGCCCTCACGGTCGGAGGCAAGGTGGAACCTGATGCCATACATCTCCAGTTTCCGGGCAATTTCAAGCACTTGAAAGTCAGATTCAGCAGGAGTTTGACCCCTATAAAGAGGAAGAAAAAGTTTTAAGAGCAATCTGATTCTATAATAATATCAACACAGCTAATGAACTTAAGTCTGAACTCTGGCACTAAATGAGAATTTTCTGTCTCATCTATTTGGGTAGTTTCACCCCAAGTTAAGTATTACACTGAAAGTTCTGTAAGAGTTCTGTATGACACAGCTGATGACCAACCTCAAATGCATCCCAAGACAGATGCTAACTAAACCAGATGTTAACTAGCTCGTTTTTGAAACTATGAAGTTGAACAAATCCAATTTCAATCCACTATGCTCTTTCCTCTGCTTGCTTGTGTACACATCAGCGTGAACCAGATAAGACGTGAGAGCTGGCAGAGCTGCGTAGCCAGCACAACAGAAACAAACCAAATATTGCAACAGAATGACCCAATTCAGGTCTGGTTTTGAGACTACAAAATTATTGCTCTAATACTAGCAGGTACAGCATATTCCCCCAGTCTTCAGCTGGATAATTATCTCCACAGCAAGGAATCCAGAGAAGGATCTTTAAAATGAAACCTCATCTGCTGTCGAAAGTACACTGAAAACAGGAGGAAGCTGCACACAGAAGGGAGCAACTGCTCTGTGAGGGCGCACAACATCCAATACAGCAACACAGAGACTGTTCAGGACTCTGGCACACACCCATCAAAGATTCAGCTCTCACTGCTCCCCACGTTAGCTGATGTCACTGACATTTTGTTCTCCTGCATGAAAACAGTCGTGGTTTTTTTTTCTCACCCCCCCCAGTTTTTCTGCATGACAGGGAGCGTATTGTATTATAGTATTATATTGTACTATATTTTTCAGCTGGTACAAGACTTTTTCCTGTAAGTCAAACCACTTGCTATCAGTTCAGGGGTCCTGACAAGGGGTTTAGGATCCTCCATGAACATATGCTGCCATGGAAATGAAGAGAGTTCTTAGAATCATAGAATCACAAAATCACTACATCTGGGAAAGACCTCGAAGATGATCAAGTCCAGCCATTGCTACTGATGGTGCCCCAGTTACACGACAAAGCAAAGTCCTTATCACAAACACAAGCCTGTTGCCCGAGGAAGTCTCTGAACTAAACATCCTGCAAGACAACACCGTGGTCCAGTTTTAGGCATAAATACAGTCCAGGAGAACCAGGTAAGGCAGAAGACCCTTCTCCTGTGCCAACTCCATGGAAACCCCACCTGCAGCGCTGCGTCCACTTCTGGGGCCCCCAACATCAGGAGAACATGGAGCTGCTGGAGCAAGACCAGAGGAAGCCAAGGAGATGCTTCGAGGGCTGAAGCCCCTCTGCTATGGAGACAGACTGTGGGTGTACAGAAGAGAAGGCTCTGGGGAAACCTCACTGTGGCCTTTCAGTACTTGAGGGCTCATAGAAAAGAGAGAGGGGGACTTTTTATATGGGCAGATAGTGACAGCACAATGGGGAATGGTTTTAAACTAAAAAAAAAGAAATTTATAGTAGATGTTAACAGAAATTCTTCCCTGTGAGGGTGGTGAGGCTCTGGCACAGGCTGCCCAGAGAAGCTGTGGCTGCCCCATCCCTGGAATTGTCCCAGGTCAGGTTTGATGGGACTTGGAGCAACCAGGTTTAGTGGAAGGTGTCCCTGCCTATGGTAGGAGGTGGAACAAGATGATCTTTAAGGTCTCTTCCAGCCCAAACCAGCCTGTGATTCTATGAAACACCACCAGCACACGACCTGCAGAGGCACTCAGAGCAGTGAGGTTATTTCAGCCACAGTTGGATAAAGTGACTGATAATCATTACTGACAATGATTAGAAATAATAAATACCAAATTACTTCCAAGTAAGTGCTACATGAGCCATGCATGAGCCCTGTGCAAGTTCACTAGGACAAAAGTAATGATAGAAGGAAGACATAAGTGATAAAAATTTATTATTATTCTATTTACAACCAAGTAGTGCTGAAACCAGATTAGATTCCTGCACACACAGACTAAGCCAAATTTTAAAACCCCTGTTTTCCGAGAAACAGCCTTCCTTCCATAAATCTTCATTTCATTAAAACAGATGATAAACTACTTTTAGCATTACCTATTTTTGTGTACTACGGAGTGCCAACCACAACATCGGCACTAAATAAATTCTCCTGCTCCTCCTAACTTGCCTTTCTAGTCATGCTCCTTAAAAATACCTCCTTTATTTACCTAGAGTCGTGTGTTAGGTTAAACAACAGTTTAGCTGCATATAGATTTTTTTAAAATATAGAGAATATTGAAGAGAATGATTTTTACATTTGAATTTATCAGAACCAGGGATGATGGCAATATATATTAACTAACTCCATGTAGGAACTGTCTCTACAATTTAGAGTTCAATTATGAAACTTATTTAGTATGCTAGGACTTTAAAAATGGAAGTTGTTAGAAAAAACAATGCTTCTTTGATACTCAGTAAAATGTTCCTTAGAGTAAAGCACACACATACACAAAATGCCCTGAGAAAGTAAGACTGAATGCACACACATTTGACAACAGGAATTCAGCAGTGTTCTGTTGCCTTATTCATTCACAAGGGGGAAAACAAGAATCTAAAACACTGCAACAGGAAATCCCACATTTATTTGCCAACTGCAGAAGGCAGGGATTCAGTGACATTCCTAAGTTTACAAGTTCAGTCCATAATCCACCCTTATCCAAATGTCAATATTTGTGACCATGTATGTATAAAGGGATTGCAAAGAACACTCACAGAGGAACAAAAACCTGATTTCAAATGGAAAAAGAAATGCCAAACTACAGAGAGAGTTTTGTAGCTGCATTTCTACCACTGTTACTGTTACATGTACTAGTTATGTACCAAGAGCTTCAACTGGTAAAGCAGATTTCTCTTCCCCTCACTGAAATGAGCAAGTGCTTTTAATACCAGCTTTAAGTGTTGTTTCCATTTCTACCACAGATTCCTTAACTGCATCATAAAAGCAGGAGAACCACGGCTCCTGTTTATTAAACACATACAAGACAAAAGAGGTAGATCATAAATCCTACTTTTGGCTACAGCTTCCTGAATTACACTCTGAGAGTACTGTGTGTAACTCCCACCCACACTAATTCCTGCTATAATTCTTTTGAACACAACGACATTAGGAATGAAAGTGGAGCTTTGTCTTTTAAAGAGGGTGCTGAGGTTGGTAAGGAGGGTTGGAAGGCAAGGGAAACAAAAACAAAATGGCAACTAGAAAATTGGAGCTACATAGTACTAAAAATTCCTCAGGAACAGTCTGGTGTAACCGATGCAAAATCACTGACAGTTATTTCACGTACCGTTAGATACGACCCAAAGCACAGCACATCTCAGAAAAAAAAAAAAAATAAGACAGTAGCCAGCATTAAGAGTGTTCTCTTGCACACCACCTGCCTGTGCCTACCAAAGAAGGCAGAACCCGGTGTGGGGAAGCCGGGAACGAAGCCGGGCAGCTCCGGCTGTGCCACAGACAGGTACAAAGAGAGCAGTTTCAGTAACTGCCCTCAGATGATGGCTGCAGGCTTAGCTGCACAGCCCAGCCTCAAAACAATCTGCTCTAATTTTGTTCAGCCATTAAGCAGATAAATCTACTTAATCTTCCCCAGGTCAATGGACAACAGACTACCTATTACCAGTATTTCCAGCAAAAATCACTGTCAGTGCAATAGGTTTTAACATAAAGGTTCCTTACATCCACTTATCTATACAGTATTGGTTGTGTGTTACAATATTCCCGTGGCAATGGATTCAGAATAAATGCTGTCAAGTGTTAGGTGATTTGGAGAGCATTTAAACCCAGTGATCAATACAGAACTTCAAAGGTGAAGTGTAAAGTTAGAATTTTTCTAATTTACACACAATTGAAAGAATTTAAATCATGGACAACTAGGCTAACAAGTTGTGAAAGGACATAAGGGACAACAGTAAACATAAAATTAAATTTATAAAATCTTCTACTTCTTTCCTGACAAAGAAACCACAGCCATGTGAACACCTGTTGAATCCTGGATTGCACTCACCTCACGGAAGGTATTCTACTACTCTTAGTAGTAGAATACACTACACTACAGTAAAACCAGTATTTTGAGTGTCTGGGTGTCAGGATTTAACTGCACCACCATCAATACACCATCTACAAAATAAAAACCCTTTTTTTTTTAATAAACTACAGAAATAAGTAAAGTTAACTTGAGCTCTTGCTGAAGCAACTAAGTAATGTGCAATACCAAAAATACAAGTCACTCTGTTTATCATTACTACATTTGCAAAGTATAGTATACTTGTGGAAGTAAAAGAAAGTATTTGTCAAAGTGAAAGAAAAAAATAAATTTAATAGAAAATAAGCTTTCAGTTGTCAGCTCTCTGGTTACAACATTCTTAATATACAGAATGGATTGGATATACAGGTTCTGCTTTATTCAGTTTGATTACTCCCTACCACTTCTAATAGCTACAGTGAAGCAATTTAAAAAAAAAGAAGGAAAACTGAGGCACAAAGAAGGCGCTGCAGCAGTGGTCTGGAGATGAGCTATCCTGCCAGAAATGGGTTTCTCTTCCTGGATGCTCAGTTAGTACAAAAATCTCTGTTAGAAGCACTCATCACTAAAGAATCACAGAATCATAGCATGGTTTAGGTTGGAAGGGACCTTAAACATCATCAGGTTCCAACTCTCCCTGCCACAGACAGGGACACCTTCCACTAGATCAGGTTGCTCCAAGCCCCATCCAACCTGGCCTTGAAAATACCAGTCTGCTCAAGGTAAGTGGAGGAATAACAAAGGTCAATTAAAGGAAATTAAAAAATGAAAATAAACCACTAAAACAAAAATATGACACACCAGGCTAACATGAGAGGGAAATATTTATGTCTGTCCAACTGCACTTTGCATCACCAAGAAGGAGCCAAATGCCCCAGGTCCCTGTTCCTGCCTGTTCCTTGGAACAGAAGTGAGGAAAAATGTGTCTACACTGAGAAAACACGGGACCTCCTCAGCTGCTAAAGATAGGAAAGGGTGGCCAATACTCCCTGAGTAAGGGAAGAGAGAAGAGATGTTGTCCCAGTTGGGACTGGGGTTGAGGTAATTTTCTTCACAGTGGCTGGTATGGAGCTGTGTTTTGGATTTGTGCTGAAAACAGTGTTGATAACCCAGGGATGTTTTCCTTGTTGCTGAGCAAAGTTCACACAGAACCAAGGCCTTCTCTGCTCTACACACACTCCACTGGCGAGGGACTGGGAGAGCACAACAAGTTGGAAGGGGTCACAGCCAGGACAGCTGACCCCAGCTGACCTCAGGGATATTCCACCCCATATGGCATCACGCTCAGCATGTAGAGCCAGGGGGAGAAGGAGGAAGAAAAGGACATTCGGAGTGACGGTGTTTGTCTTCCCCAGTCATCGTTATGTGAGATGGAAACCTCTTTCCTGAGTTACACTCTGAGAGTACTGTGTGTAACTCCCACCCACACTAATTCCTGCTATAATTCTTTTGAACACAACGACATTAGGAATGAAAGTGGAGCTTTGTCTTTTAAAGAGGGTGCTGAGGTTGGCAAGGAGGGTTGGAAGGCAAGGGAAACAAAAACAAAATGGCAACTAGAAAATTGGAGCTACATAGTACTAAAAATTCCTCAGGAACAGTCTGGTGTAACCGATGCAAAATCACTGACAGTTATTTCACGTACCGTTAGATGTGACCCAAAGCACGGTACATCTCAGAAAAAAAAAAAAAATAAGGCAGTAGCCAGCATTAAGAGTGTTCTCTTGCACACCACCTGCCCGTGCCTACCAAAGAAGGCAGAACCCGGTGTGGGGAAGCCGGGAACGAAGCCGGGCAGCTCCGGCTGTGCCACAGACAGGTACAAAGAGAGCAGTTTCAGTAACTGCCCTCAGATGATGGCTGCAGGCTTAGCTGCACAGCCCAGCCTCAAAACAATCTGCTCTAATTTTGTTCAGCCATTAAGCAGATAAATCTACTTAATCTTCCCCAGGTCAATGGACAACAGACTACCTATTACCAGTATTTCCAGCAAAAATCACTGTCAGTGCAATAGGTTTTAACATAAAGGTTCCTTACATCCACTTATCTATACAGTACTGGTTGTGTGTTACAATATTCCCGTGGCAATGGATTCAGAATAAATGCTGTCAAGTGTTAGGTGATTTGGAGAGCATTTAAACCCAGTGATCAATACAGAACTTCAAAGGTGAAGTGTAAAGTTAGAATTTTTCTAATTTACACACAATTGAAAGAATTTAAATCATGGACAACTAGGCTAACAAGTTGTGAAAGGACATAAGGGACAACAGTAAACATAAAAATAAATTTATAAAATCTTCTACTTCTTTCCTGACAAAGAAACCACAGCCATGTGAACACATGTTGAATCCTGGATTGCACTCACCTCACGGAAGGTATTCTACTACTCTTAGTAGTAGAATACACTACACTACAGTAAAACCAGTATTTTGAGTGTCTGGGTGTCAGGATTTAACTGCACCACCATCAATACACCATCTACAAAATAAAAACCCTTTTTTTTTTAATAAACTACAGAAATAAGTAAAGTTAACTTGAGCTCTTGCTGAAGCAACTAAGTAATGTGCAATACCAAAAATACAAGTCACTCTGTTTATCATTACTACATTTGCAAAGTATAGTATACTTGTGGAAGTAAAAGAAAGTATTTGTCAAAGTGAAAGAAAAAAATAAATTTAATAGAAAATAAGCTTTCAGTTGTCAGCTCTCTGGTTACAACATTCTTAATATACAGAATGGATTGGATATACAGGTTCTGCTTTATTCAGTTTGATTACTCCCTACCACTTCTAATAGCTACAGTGAAGCAATTTAAAAAAAAGAAGGAAAACTGAGGCACAAAGAAGGCGCTGCAGCAGTGGTCTGGAGATGAGCTATCCTGCCAGAAATGGGTTTCTCTTCCTGGATGCTCAGTTAGTACAAAAATCTCTGTTAGAAGCACTCATCACTAAAGAATCACAGAATCATAGCATGGTTTAGGTTGGAAGGGACCTTAAACATCATCAGGTTCCAACTCTCCCTGCCACGGACAGGGACACCTTCCACTAGACCAGGTTGCTCCAAGCCCCATCCAACCTGGCCTTGAAAATACCAGTCTGCTCAAGGTAAGTGGAGGAATAACAAAGGTCAATTAAAGGAAATTAAAAAATGAAAATAAACCACTAAAACAAAAATATGACACACCAGGCTAACATGAGAGGGAAATATTTATGTCTGTCCAACTGCACTTTGCATCACCAAGAAGGAGCCAAATGCCCCAGGTCCCTGTTCCTGCCTGTTCCTTGGAACAGAAGTGAGGAAAAATGTGTCTACACTGAGAAAACACGGGACCTCCTCAGCTGCTAAAGATAGGAAAGGGTGGCCAATACTCCCTGAGTAAGGGAAGAGAGAAGAGATGTTGTCCCAGTTGGGACTGGGGTTGAGGTAATTTTCTTCACAGTGGCTGGTATGGAGCTGTGTTTTGGATTTGTGCTGAAAACAGTGTTGATAACCCAGGGATGTTTTCCTTGTTGCTGAGCAAAGTTCACACAGAACCAAGGCCTTCTCTGCTCTACACACACTCCACTGGCGAGGGACTGGGAGAGCACAACAAGTTGGAAGGGGTCACAGCCAGGACAGCTGACCCCAGCTGACCTCAGGGATATTCCACCCCATATGGCATCACGCTCAGCATGTAGAGCCAGGGGGAGAAGGAGGAAGAAAAGGACATTCGGAGTGATGGTGTTTGTCTTCCCCAGTCATCGTTATGTGAGATGGAAACCTCTTTCCTGAGGATGGCTGAACACCTGCCTGCCCATGGACAGTAAGGAATGAATTCCTGGCTTTGCTCTGCATGCTTGGGTGGCTTTTGCTTCACCTGTTAAACTGTCTGTATCTCAACCCCTGGGTCTTCCCACTTTCACCCTTCCAATTCTCTACTCCCAATCCCACCGAGGGGGACCAAGCAGCTGTGTGGGGCTGAGCTGGGGTTAAACCACAGAAGTCACAGCTATTTTTAGGACTGCAGCGCTTGCAAAATGACATCTCTCCAACAAAAGTTTTTCCACAGGTGTAGGGGATTCAAAATATGCCTTGAAGGTTATTGCTAAAGCTCAATGGCAACCTTTTCTAACTACATGCCTCAGCTGTTAATCTTCACATGGATTGCATGTGCACTTCTAAAACACTACTTTACAGTAAGATTTACAATCATTATAATAGTATGGCTGCAATACTACAGGATGTGTCTTGGCCTTAAACACAGATGCTGCCCTCAGAAACCACCTTGTTCTGTCTTAAAAGAAAGTCAGTCAGCAATGATCCATGATTTTACCCACATAAAGCAAAAGGAACATTTAACTTTCTAGTATAGCATTTGGATTAAAACACGCAGCCAGGCACAATAAAGCAGGCATGTAGTTATTCACAATTAATAAAAGCACTTCAAATTGCTAAATCCTAATATTCAAGGTCTCAAATTATAGAATAAGTTCCTGCAGTTCCTGACTGCATCTTAGAACCAGTTTTATATTTGTGGTGAAGAGTTTCTTTGTCACCAATAATCTCCCGTTACTTCAGAAATACCCCACCTGTAAGATAAGGTGTTGCATGAATTCTGGTGAAAGTAATTTCTCCCCCACTGCCTCCATCCTTCTTCATCTCTCTTGTGCTTAATGAGTACAGAATGAGCATGATGCAATTAATTTCTAATTATTTAGACAAAAGCAAGACCTATGCATTTGCTGGCAAACTGAGCCTAAACTTTGTAGACTGGAAATTCTGAAGAATTATTTTGCCTAAACCCATTATTATATGATGGCTTTCTTTGTCTTGTTATTAAAGGTACGCTGCAATAATCACTTGAGAAAAAACTACTGCCCAACAACTCCATCCTAACTATGTAACTACTGCTACACCCAACTTTCCTTGCTCAATGTAAATGGTGTTTAATTCACACTCTGTTAACATCATCCTATCATATGGCATGCTTGACCTCCCCCAAGCACTGCATGCCTGCATGCTCCCCAGGGGTTACATTAGGGGTTTACATTAATCCTCACTTACACATGCTTCTTGTGGAACTCCAGGATCTTTCCTTCAATTCTTTCCTGGTTTGGCAAATACTGGTTTGTTTTAAGGTGTTCTCGATCCTCCGATTCATCGAAATCCCCTATTTCGGCTACGACAGAAAATAGAACAATTTTAGAATAAGAAGAAAACAAAGCAGTGTTAGAGTAAGAAGAAACAATGGAAAAGGAACCATGACCAAAAATAGTTGGTAAGGAATTACAGAGACTCCAAGAGCCTTTAAGTGCTTCAAAGTTGTGCATCACACTTTCTATCCAGCTTCATTTTACCAAACTCTCACATTTATCCCAAGTAGACTTCCTGGGGATTAGAGCAGTATTTAAACATAATTTGGAAAATCTAGACTTCTTAAGGGTCCAAGATGTGTAAAAAACCCACGAGGTGGTGTGAACATTTGTTACTTACAGATACCTCAAACCAACCACTGTGTTTCAATGCATCTTTTTCTAAACATATGTAAAGTAGTAATGGGCAAGGCTACTTGGGAAGGTGGTAAATTACATCTGGAGCTTTGGTCTCCCCTTCACACACCCATGTCTTTCAGATACAACACAGTGGATTTAGGAAGAGATTTACAGGAGGAAAAAGCATGATTAGAAAGTGCAGAATGGCTTCCATCTGATACAATATGAAGCAACTGGAAGTCTTCAGCTTGGGAAAGAAAAGCACAGGGCAGGCAGAACACACGGCAGATGTATATAGAAATTACAGGTTGAATAAATACATTTTAAGAAGTAATTTGACTTTTGCTGATAGTAAAATATGAAGTTACAATACTAAATTAAAGCACTAAAGTTTTTAAAGGACAAAAGTACACATTACCCTAAAACCTCCCCCAAAAAACTAAGCTGTGAGGCTCATTTCCCTGAAAGGATGCCAAAAATATAAGCAAAATCAAAAATCAGACAAACACAAGGGCAACTAAACACACAGATGCAGGTAATCTGTGACTTAGAAAGGCCACATGCCAAGATTATGGGATGGATGCAGCAAAGGAAGAGTTGCAATATGCCTGCTCTGTGTCTGAGGGCTTCCCCATAGCATCTGCCATCAGCTACTGTCAGAGAAAGGAGTGGACTTGTTCTTAAAAAGAACACAGCAAATCCTGTTTAGAATCAAGCCAGCACACAAAACAAGTAAAAAATATTTAAAGGATTTCTGTAAAATAATTTCTGTTCAAAATAAAACTATTCTTTCTCACATCCAATTTTCCAGAAGAGCAGAATCAAGCTAAGGAAGGCCCGATGGTGAGGTTTGCTCACCAGTTCCCCACTGCTGAGAAATCATAAGCAGGTTTTTAATGGCACACACACAAGATAAATAAAATAAAATCAAATCACCCTAACTATTATAACTGCATTATTATATGGCAATGCAGAATTAGATAACCAATAATTATTTAGCAGTGCATGTGTGAAGAACATCATTGAACAGCTTTTGCTTCCAGCCATCAAAGAGCCTCCAAAGGCCCTGTCTGCAGCTCGGGCTGCAGATCTGTGAACACTCCGGCTGCTGCTCCAGCAATTTGGTGTCCAAACCCAATCAAGGTTTCCAGCCCCTTGTCTCAAAGGTCATGATTTTAGGTCTTTAGGCACAGACAGACCAAGTCAGCAGCAGCATGGAGGGCTTCCAAGTCAATTGTTTCCCATTTTTATTTTCCCTCCTAGTGAGGAAGAAAGCTGCTGCTGACAGCCCCACTGTGGAACTTGTTCTGGCACAGTTCTAGCTGTGTTTCAGCCCAGTTCCTATACACCCATCTTCCCCTAGGCACGGGGAAAGTGAGAAGCCAAGTCGAGGGAGCACAGAGGCAGATGGGAACATCTGTCTGGAAGATGTGGAGGGCTGGTGACATGGCCTGCAGAGCCAGGGACAACAGACAACACGGAAGGCATTTGGTTTCCAACAGCCTCCACGAAGCCAAAGTTATCTCATACGTAAGCACCAGCTGTTCCTCCCCACAGCCAGCCTGGATGACCATTCCAGGGCTGAAAATCAACATGTTTTACAGTGTGTAGGGAAGGAAATACCATGAGGCAGAGATGGCTTTTAGTTACCAAAAGCTTCTGTGGGCTATTTAACCTGGGCCAGCACGGGCACTGATGTCAGCCCAGCTGGGATACTCACACTGCAAAAGGTGGGAGACCAGCAGAGCTGCTGTGTTGTCACTGCAGGTCAGTCGCTCCTCTGCCAGGTCTCTCTTGATTTGCAACGCAAACAGGTACCTGAGGGAGAGGTACAAGGGTTGGAGTTACAAGGACCATCCTGACAGATGAAAGGACCACAGAACAACTGAGCAGGGGCTTTTAATACCAGAAACTCCTAATTCTTCCTCTCTCCAAACCCAAGGTAACACAGCAGCCTGGCTACCAAGGACACTCAAATCAAACAAAATAACCTGTGACTTGTCCAGTGCAATTTATCAACACAGGACTGATCCAGCACAACGGACTCACAGGAACAAGGAAGTAGAAAGAAAACCACGTTTTAAGCAGGGTTCATTTGTACAGTAACTGCAGCTGTCATTTTTAGCTGCAAACTGTGGGCTTCAGAAGTTTAAATACTAAATAACTTACCAAAGTACATACTTGATTATTTTATATAGGCACTGTTTATAAATTTTATTATTTTCTATATACTCTGACTCCTCTGACACCATGATGTTGGCAAGCCCTAATCTGTGCTGTTCTCTGTTTTGAAAAGTATTTTTTCTGATACCATTCATCTGCCAACACATGTCTGCTGAAACTGCGACACTCACTCCAAGTGCTCTTTGACTCATCTTCCATCTGAGTTCTGTTAGGAAGCAGCTGTGCTGCCCTCCTACCCTTACCTCCCTATTAATTCAGTAGGTAATGCAAATCTAATAGTTCTATAACTACTTTACCTGGTATATTCCTCTTGCAACTGACCCGGGTCTGGAGGGAAAAACTTCACAGCTAGACGAAGCATTGTAGTCTTTGGTCCTAGAAGAAAAGTTGGTCATTTCACACAAAAAAAACCCCAACCAACCAAACAACAACAACAACAAAAAAAACCAGGCATTCTTCATAAGTACACGCATATTCTATTTGCCAATGAGCAGAGAAACACAACACACATGAAGTCTAGCCAGATTTCAACTCCCAGCTAACCACAGCATGCTCTGGGGTACAGATTGTCCATGTCAACGGACATACAGCAGCTGGTTTCCAGAGGAACTTGGATACCACTGCCAAGGTGAGTCTGCAGGCTCAGCGCTGTAAGAAGAGCTCCATTCAACATGAAATCTGAAATACCCCAAAGCAACTACTTGGCTGCACACAACAGCATCGCAGGTGACCCAGTGAGAGAGGTCCCAGAAGGGGAGGAGAGGGGAGACACATCCACAGGCTCCCTACACCAACCACATGATCAGAACTGAACCCACGAGCCTGGCTGGACCCAGCTGGCTCCCTGCAGAGATAAAGGGTGTTTGCAGCCTGCTCCCGGCACGCCTGGTAATACCCATTTCCTCCCATTTTCAACACTTCCTTGCCCATCTCAACAACAGGCAGAAAACTAATTTAATATTCAAAACTAAACAGAGTTCTCAGTCACTGTTGGGAACAGTCCATAAGCCTCTCAGTAGCATTTTACAACAAAACACAACCGCGACTCGTCTGCGTTAACCGTTCCAGCATCACGACTCATCAAGCTGAACCACAATCGCCGCTTCATCCACATGTTTGAAGGAATTACCACAGGGTACCACAGTCACTCTCCATGCCAGGACTGGGCACCACCAGTTGTTTTTCCTGCCTTAAAACAGATGAGGCCAAGTATTTCACAGGCAGGCAGAGCACTGGCCAGCCTGTCCTTACAGGAGTCTGCTGAGCATCCACCGGACATCTGCAGGCACACTCTGGGCAAGAGCCAGGCCCAGCCACCCTGGGACTCCATGTGCCACTGCAGTTTCAAAGCAAGCTTAGACAAATTGAAATTAAAAAAAAAAAAAATCAAATTTGTTGGAGCATGCTGGTAAGTACAAGACAGCCTGCTTTAATTTATTTTAAGCACCAAGATCTCTTAAAGCTTGACAAAGTCCAGTTTAACCCCATCAGCCCCACGGCACACTGATTTCTTCTGTCTGGAATATCCAATTCTCATATGCTGAACGTTTCTCCACTCACTCTCTTGTTTGTTAATGAGGGAATTTCAGACTTGGCTTTTTGACTAGGAGAACTGACTCAGAGATTATCACAGCTGTCACAAGAGCAGCTCCCTGCCTCCAATCCCAGAATCACCAAAGCTTTGGTGAACAAAAAAAACTACAATCCACATCCCAATTACACTGCAACATCTAGAAATAAAAGAAGGTTGGAAAATAACACCGTATAATGACACAGAAAGCTTACATATGGCAGAGACTAAGGACTTTATAGTTCTTGAGACGTAGCAAGTGAGAAAAATGGTTTTAATGATTCCAGTAAAAAACCCCAAAACTTCACATCAAATTTCTGAAAATATCCTGAGCCTTTGGAAGATCTTCACAAGGTCAACAACAATACTGCATGTTAGTGATGCCAATCAACTGGAAAGTATTAATGTGGGAGCAATTTTGGAAGTGTTTTGAGCATCACTTACATCAAATGACAATAAATATAAAAAATTAAAAGCATAATACTGCATATTTGCCTCTGTAGCACAACCCTCCTCTTTTTGTTTAGTCAACCTTGCCTTTCCTCTATAAATAAGTCCCATTCAAATCAGGAAAAGAAACACTTGACCAGTGTTAACAGAGATGCAGAATTTATTTTAAGAAGCCAAATCTGAGCAAAAACAAAGACAACAATAAAAGAGATGTAAGGAAAACTTACTTGGGCAGGGATGGTGAACACAACGCTACATAAACTGGCAGCACCTCAGACAAGGTACCCAAAGGCCAACCTGATATTCTGTGCCTGTTAGGGAGCTGAAAATCTGGATCCAAACCCCTTGCCTTCTGGAGTGGTTTGGTAGTAAAACTGACTGCATTCATTTGAAAACAATCACAGTAAAATTCTTACCACAAAACACAATGCTAAATGTATCTCAGAACAGGTCACTAGCCAAGAGTAATTTAAAGTAAATCAAGAACTTTTGTGTCTAGAGAGGATGTCAAAGACTCAGAAGTGCATATCTGCAGCTACACAGCAATCACCAGCAACATCAACCAACACATTTGAGCTGGAACACCTTAAAGCCAATGACAACATTCCCCTGCTGCTGGACTAGAAGTTTAAAGGTTAACTTCAAAATCATTAAATTCTAAAAAAAACCTCAGACAAACAAAAAGCCCAATGTATAGAAAACAAGAAATTTCAATCAATTTAAAACTGATTTCAGAACGCGAACACCTGCCAGACAAGTGACTGGTACCTCTTACAGATTAGAATTTTAGAAATTTTAAAATAAATCTTTCTTTTTCACTGGCAACATAATGTCATGGTAGATCAAAAAGCAGCCATAAATATTAGCAAGCCCTCATGATTTTAGACCATTTTAGACCAATATTTGTCCCATCAGGGAACACCATCTAAGGTCAAGATTCCCCAATTTATATGGTATAGAAGAGAATACAGAAGGAGTAACCAAGCAGCACTGCAGAGCTGTGGTCCACCAGATCTTTTAACAAGGATATAATTCCTTCCAGTCAGGAATATATAAAAAGTTGGCAGTCCAACATTTTTTTGGTGGGGAAAACAGAAAGTATTGTATACCCTCTGAAGGAAGCCTTCTTTTATAGCTGGTTTGGCTCTTCTGCTTAAAAACCAATGTTGGCAAAAGTCAAAATCCTGACTTTAATGTTAAAAAATTAGCTAGAATTGGTGATTTCATATTTTCTGGCAATCAATTTTAGGCAGAAGAGTAACTCAAAACTACTTCCCAGTACTAATTTTCAACGTATTTCAATCAGAATTTGGAAAGGAGTAGGAATCCACCACACCCTCCTGATCTTGTTCTTCCACAAAGTCTCTGCACTCAGAACCAGAAAACAAACAGCTTAACTCTTTTCTAAAGGAAAAAAAAAAAAAAAAGCTGGATCTAATCTTTCAACATCTGAAGAACCAACCTGCATGCTGCATTCTTCAATTATTTTTCACCTTTAGAGTGCCTCTCACATTACTTTTTAGAGTGGGATAAAGGCAAGACAGCCTCGCTATTGCAGCATCCTCCTGGCCAGGGAGCAGAACCACATTTTACAGCCAAAGCAGAAGCTCTGAAGCTGCAGCCACCACCCAGGAAGGAGATCCCTACCTCTGCTCTCCCAGCAAAGCTGCTCCTGAGCACATGGAAAGAGCTCACATGGGAATCAGCCAAAATATTCCTTTTTCTTCCCACGGTATGACAACACAACTTCCAAAAGCTTACAAACAGCAAGTGTTATATTTCACTTCACCATAACACCAGCTGACCCAGTCTATCTAGATATTTATCAGAGAAAGAATCCTACCTGCAGTAAGTTTCCATTCCACCCACCATATTAAAAACGTCAGGTTGGCATGTTCCAACAGGAACCACTATCACCCCTACCATGTGTAATTTGCAGGGAAGCATAACCAGTAAATCAAGTAGTAATTGTGAAAGCAACCCACATAAAGCAGATGCAAATTAAGGAAAACTTCCTTTTTTAAAACTACTTACTCCGTACTTGCTTAATAACAGGTTTCATAGGTTCCAGCCAAATCTGAAATTGCAGAGAAAAAAAATTACAAACTGACATTCTTATTTGAATATAATATGAAAACATCAAAAGTAAATTTAAATCAAGCAGTAATTTATGAGTAGCATTTCTTCCGCAGTGCAGTAATTCCTTTGCTTTACAAAGAGCGTAAAGCAAACTTATCTATTTGAATTGACATTTCTCATGCATCAGTAGAAAAATCACTGATCTGTGCTTAAAGCTCCTCTGGACAGAAAAAGAGCCCACTCAGCAAAAGCACAGCCCCACTGCCAAGAAGGCAAGAGTCATGCCAAAACCCATGGCCCGACAGGAGCCAGGCTGCAGAATTACAGAAAGTCTGGACAACAAGAAGAAGTCCAATTTTTTTTCCCTTTCCATGCTTTTTCTGGCACTCTTACCTACCTACTTAAGGGTTTTTACTCGTTATTAATTTCCCAGCATTTTTCCTCTTTTGACAAGCACATTTTAAAAGAAAGACTGTTGGTGTTCTTGTAACAGGAGCATCCATAAAAGTAATGCAAAATATTCTGGATGCCCCACTTTTTATTTTCCTCACCCCTCCAAAGAGGAAACTGTTACAAGACAATTATGTTTGGTCCTTACTAGTTACTGCTCTGTCTGAAAGACAGATGAGGATTTTAAGAACGTTATTAGCTGCAGTAACAGTTTGGAAACCATGCAGAAGAACTGGAAACTAAACAAGTTTTACTGTATTTCCTCAGCTCAAGAGCAGCGTGGATTAGTACTACCAGCATTCCCTATGTTCTCAGTCTCATTTTCTGCATGTCCTAAAACTAGAAAAAGGGAAAGAAAAAAACGAAAAGAGGGTTTGGGGAACATTTTCTGGTTTAGAAGCCACATTGTCCTCTTTGCAAGGTATAGGATAAGTGGCTAGGAGGCTTAAAGGTGTCAGCATTGATCTAGATCAATGATTTTAAAAGCTTGCAGGCCTGTATGCCTGCTGAGGTTTGTGTTGGAAAGAGGTTTGTGATGGCTCTTCAAGGGCTATAACTGAAGGCAGAATTAAATGAGGATAAATATGAATGCTACCAAAGTTACACACTGTAATACGATTTTATAGGTGCTCCACAGAGTACACTTTGACTTCATGTTTCCCTTTCCAGAGGAAAGGAGGATTTTATTTCTGTCCCCTGAAAGTGGGAATATCAGCAGCTATTTAACAGCTTTATATATTTTCTGAGATTTTAGAAGCAGCAGGATCTGATTCCTCCCCTCTGCTTTAGTAGTTGTCATCATCTGGTAAGCTACACAGATCTACAAGAATCCAAGAGATGATCCTACAGGACACTCCAGTAGACTTGGACACTTTTAACACTCAAGGAACTGCATTCACCCAAGCTTTTTATTAAACCCAAATTGTCAGAGTACGCACCCAATATGACTGGAGGTTCTGGAACTCAATTCCAAAGTAGTCTGACTCAATCAAATTCAGATGCTTGTAAACTTCTGTCAGTAATGTCTGGCCGTAACATTTTGACTAAGGAAGTAATAAAAAAAGTTACAATGAGATTAATATGTATAAGTTTCCAGCAAATTAAAAAACAAATTATGGCATCTTTAGAAACTGTTGAAAAGTATCACAAAGATTTTTCACATCTTCCTTGTCACTGTAACACACAAACAGAGGCACAGTTCCACATAAAAATCCTTCACAGAACCGGAGGAACTGAAGCTGGAAGGGGCCACTGGAGGTCACCTACGTCCAGCCTCCTTCTCACAGCAGGGTCAGCCAGGAGACCCGAGGAGACCAGCTGCAGGCTATTTGCAGCTCCTTCAATAAACCCACACGTTTGTTTGTGTAGCTGGATGGTGTGGTCTGCCCCAGCAGCACACCGAGCAGGGACTGCCAGATCCCTGCTCCATGCAGACCCCTCGCTCCTTCCAACACCAGGGACTCCAGGGCCCCGTGCAGACCAGCAGGAACCCAACCAACCCTCCTCTTACACCACACTTGCTGTGGAGTCCTTTCAATGAATCCCTCCCTCAAGAAACCCACTCACCAACTCTTATTGACAGTCAAGTTAGAGGCAAACCCACAAACCAAACACTGTCAGAAAGCAGCTATGGCAACATGGGAGAAAAACAGGAAACTTCCATAGCACATCAAAACCAGCTCCCCTTGGGGCTGCTTGTTCAATCATCCCAGCTTGCTCTCAGCATGACTGTAGCAGCCACCACAAGAAAAAGAGCATTTATGAACTCACACATCAAGCCATCACTCAGAGAAGGATCCAAAGGGCTATCACACCTCTAGGTACCCATTCCAGCAACACACAAAACCTAGCAGGGTGCAGAGAGAGGTTGCACAGCCACAAAGCTACACCTGGGACCATGTAAGTGATCCTACAACTGCAGTGACAGGGTCTGGCATCATTCTGGTCAGCTGGGTACCTGACAGAACATGCTGGCAGCACTGATGCCACAGAGGTTTGTTCATGTGGAAGAGTCGGAGTGATGGAAGACTCCACAACTTTCCCATCAAAGCAGGCACAGAGTTCTGTAACTGACTCTTTAAACTCAGAACAGTGTCTCTTTTTAAAAGTATTAGACATTATAATAAGTTATCACAGAATGGTTTGGGTTGGAAGGGACCTTAAAGCTCATCTAGTTCCAGAGACATCTTCCACTATCCCAGGTTGCTCCAAGCCCTGTCCAACCTGGCCTAGAACACTTCCAGGGATGGGGCAGCGATGGCATCTCTGGGCAACCTGTGCCAGGGCCTCCCCACCCTCACAGGGAAGAATTTCTTTCTGCTTTTAATCTAAATCTACCCTTATTCATTTTAAAGCTAAACTAGTGTTAGAATTAGAATAATTTAATAAAATGTAAATGAAAACATCTGAGAGAAAGAATGGGCCACTTTAGGTTTAAAAAGTATAAAATATGGTGAAAGCTGGGGCAATTGTTTCACATTACTGGGGTGCACAAAAAATTCAAAAGCAAATGCTTCTTACAGTAAAAACATTAACTGTAATTTTTAAAACTATGCAATTCAGCTAAATGCCTCTGTAACACTTAAAAAAAACCCCAAAACTTCAGTGAGAAAAAGTTTGACAGCTGAGCAGTGCTGCATATCTGACATAGCTTTGGTATTTGAACTGGTGTGAGTGGAGCTGATGCAATCCAACACTGTAACCTCAGAGAAAATCACAGAAACAGGACAGAACAACACGAGATTGGCTCATCCCTCTCACTCATCCTTTTACCACTCACGTTACCTACAAGGGCAACCACAGGTGGGAAGCTTTGGTCGGGTGAATTCATCTGGCACAAACACGAGTCATTCAAAAGGTTCTTGATATCACACTGGCTCAGGCCACTGACACTGAAACCCCCAAATAAAACTGCAAGTCGGGAGAAGTGATCCAGTTCTTGGTGACTGCAGAGGGCACAGAGATGCCTGGCTGAGGGATGACACAGTACATGAGCAGGAGCACTCTCCTCTTTTTCTGAACAAGTCTAAAATGGCATTTTTTTTGTAAGAACACATTTAAATTTTTTTTTTAGCCAAAATCCGTGCTTACAGAAGGCTCTGAGGGTATGGGTTTTGCTTTTTAAATGGTGACAATGAAATAAAGAATGATACAAATAATGGCAGCCACATGTCCAGTAAATTACATTGTTGCTCTGCTGTCTCCAGACACATTTCCCAGGCAGGTTACAGACTCTGCCAGAGGGGGCAGGTGCCTGGAGAAATGCATTTTGAAAGTTAGATTTTTAACTTCCAAATGAAATACATTTCTTGCTATGTACTTGTGAATAAAGCTTCAAATAGTAACAGAAATATCTTTAAATATAGTAGGACTCTTTTTTTAAGGTACTGATAAGCACACACATATGCCTCCTGCTCCCAGGTCCCACAGATCCAAGAAGGGAATACTTTTCAGCCAGCAATATTTGTGGGGATGCAGCAATACCCTGACCATCATCATATTCTTCCATGTGCAGAAGATGGGACATGCCACTTGCCTTTTCATGGACAGACCTACTGACCTCTAGAAGCCCCTGACCAAGAGATGTCCTGCAACCCAAATCTCATTTGTGAAACAAGCAGCAATTCTGGTTCCAGCCACCTTCTGTTAGAACTGACACACTTGGATTAACCTGTGAAAGGTGCCTGCTAACCATCAGACAAGTTTTACAGCCAAACTGTGCACTGTGCTGATTAAGTAATCTGTGTCCTGTCCATGGCTAGTTACGTACAGGAATTAAAATTATCCCAATGGATCGTAATGCACAGGTTTCCCCCATTTAAACTGAGTTACATCTCTGTGGCTCCACCAAGCTCCATGCCTGAAGACAGTCCAGCTGCCTTCATCTCTCCAAAAAAAACCAACCAACCAACCAACCAACCAAAAAAACAACCTGTATGCCACATATCCCTGGTACCTCTCCTTCCACTGTCAAGCCCATGCTCCTTCAAGAGAAACTGAAGATGAAGAAATTAAGATGGTTAAAACTGGGAGCACTTGGCAACTGATCAAATTATAAAAGCATAAAATAATTTTGCTTGGGCTAACAACTATAATTTTGGGTGTCAAGAAAACCCCCAGTCTAAGCTGAGTAGCATTTCACATCCTTCAGAAGACAAATGCCACATTTTGAAAGAACAGTATTAATTTTATTTTAAAGTGAGTTTCAAAAGCTTGAGACAGAACAGGATTTTTTACTATTGTACCTCAAATGCTGTGGGAAAACTCTTCTTGGAGCACTTTAGTTCCTCAAATTGTTTACTATGTTTATAACCATCCTTTCCAAAAAGCTGGACATTTTGAAGTGGACAAAAGTGAAAGTGATATAGTGGGCAGCTCCATGTCACTGTTTTATTTGCATAAAAGCAGCACAAAGTAAAATATTTTAAGTAATTCCCTAATTGCTGTAATTCTGGCATCAGGGCAAGCAGCTGCATGAATGCATTTCAGAAAGGTCCTGCTTTCAATACAAATCCACAACACAGCATATTTTCCATTCCAAACTTCTCAATTACTCTTTATTTTCTGCCAAGACAACAACTACTGATATTACTGAATTATTTCACATATAAAGAAAGGAAAAAACAGTAAAAAGAAATTAAATAGGCAGCTAACAACAGTTTTCCTCAGTAATCCAGTTCTAACCATTACTGCAGATAATTTTAACAAGTCATCACTAGAAGACTGTTCAGCACAATAGACTTATTTCAAATTGATTTGTATATTCAGATCAAGCTTGAAAAGTTCCCTCAGAACTGTGCAAGTGCAAGCAGGGTACCCTGACTGGTGGTGATGCCACAGAGAGCCCTGCATGGCAACAGAAGCAACACCTTCAGACCCAGCTCACTGCTAAAACAGCCTAAGATGGGGAACAGAAATCCATAGGATCAAGCATTTTCAGCTGAAGTTTCTTGCCTGAAGGAGGTATCTGTATTTGTTGCTTTATCAGAAAAATAAACATATTCAATGTTAGCAATCTTTAGGACAGAGGAGTAAAATATAAATAATATTAAAAAGTCGTAAAACCAGTTATTTTTTGTTTTATAGAATCATAGAATCACAGGACGGTTTGGGTTGGAAGCAACTTTAAGTATCATCTCATTCCATGGGTAGAAACACCTTCCATTATCCCAAGTTGCTCCAAGGGCCATCCAACCTGGCCTTGAACACTCCAGGGATGGGGCAGCCACAGCTTCTCTGGGAAGCCTGTGCCAGGGCCTCACCACCAAGATCCCATCTAACTCCGCCCTCTGTCAGTGTGAAGCGATTCCCCCCTATCCTGCCCCTCCAGGCCCTTGCCCAAAGTCCCTCTCCAGCTCTCTTGGAGCTGCTTCAGGCACTGGAAGGGGTTCTAAGGTCTTCCCAGAGCCTTCTCTTCTCCAGGCTGAACACCCCCAGCTCTCACAGCCTTTCTCCAGAGTAGAGGAGCTCCAGCCCTTGAAGCATCTCCCATGGCCTCTTCTGGACTCACTGCAGCAGCTCCACATCTGTCTTGTGCCATGAGCCCAGAGCTGGATGCAGCACCACAGGTGAGGTCTCACCAGAGCAGAGTAGAGGGGGAGAATCAACCCAAGTGTTATTTGCTATTTTCTCAAATATCACTACCCACATGGCAGATCCTCTCTATGAGCCATAACATTTGAGCTCAGGGAGGAAAACAAACTGGGAACACATAGCCATAGCTCAAACAGTAGACCATAGAAATCAATTCTAGAAATCAATTCTTCTCTAACTCCCAAACTTGTCTTCCAGAACATCTTAACTTTCTGCTTTCACATATTTTTAATTTAAAAACAAAAAAGCCCTGGTACTTTCATAACGAGTAGTGTTCTCATCTTCCAAAATGGACAAGCTGCCCTTGCTCAAACTTTCCAATAAAGAAATCCACTTTTGGCAGCAGTTAAGCTGGAAGGGAAAGAGAAAAAAAAGTATCAGTGCAAAAGTCAAGAGTTTGGAAAAACTGAAGAGTTACAAACTAGAGGTATAGAATGGAAACACTTGTGCA